TTTTTTTTTTTTTTTTTTTTTGACCCACTGAAAAGTTGGACTTGGGTGCCTAAAAGAGGTTTGGGTGTAAGGTATCTTAAAAATCTAGCCTTGTGAAGTTTTGTTTTTAACTTTAGTGGCAAAATGACCAAATATATAGAAACATGAATTATAAAATCCTTAAAGGAACAAGAATGGACTGTTTTGAAATATTTTGTGTAGAACCATAGTTGTTTTACATAGTTATTGGTTGATACACATACTATTTACTTGTCATTTTCAGACATAGTTCAGCATAGTGTGCAGGATGTCCCTAGAACTACACTTTGCCCTGTTGTGAAACAGTACAAGACTTTGTTTTATAATTGTTAACACACTAGAAGAGAGTCCTAAATTAGGCTAAATTAGCAGCCGTCTAAAACTCTGGATTTAAGAGGTTAATTAACAAGCTCATGCCTTTATAGCCAAGATACAGACTTACTGGGTAAGGCTGTGTATCTTTTTCCTACCTTCAGAATTGTAAGTAATGGGATCACGGCAGGAAAAAACTAAATGCATCACATGTAAACAACAGTCATCACCCTTTTCCTGTTGAAGCAATCAAAAAGTTGTATAGTCAGTCTACCAAGTTCTGGGATTCCCCATAGTCTTGTAGAAGCTCAAATTTCCCTTTCTCAATGGACTGGGTTAGTGTAAGAAATTTTTAATCAGCATGCCAGGGGAAAAAAAAAACTATGTTTAACAGAACATTTTAATGCTTCTTTTTTTTTTTTAGAAAGAGTTACAAAATATGGAATGAAAAGATAGTCCAAAATTGGCACATTCACACAAATTGTTGATATACAGACTGTAGTGCAAGTTCCCATATTAAAACATGTTGAATGCAACACAAGAACTATACTTGCAAAACACTTTTATTTCATATTGTACAGTTAAAACATACGTTTTTAAAAGTTTACAGTACTGGAGGACGTATCTACTGCAACTAAAGATGTTAGCAGAGGATTTGATAACAATATTTTAGTTCACAAAGAGGTTTTGTTCAACACATTTGGTTTTCCATAGATTTAAGCCAGCCTCTCCATAGGCTGAATGTGGCCTATTCAGAGAAAACAACCAGCTGTAGAAAAGATAGAATGATTCAAACAAAACATGCCAGCCCTGCATCTGCAAGTCAAAGGCATATATATTAATTTTCCCCACATCCATACCTGGAACTAACTCTCCCCCTGAGACAAGGCCAGATTATGACATGCTGGGGCCCTAAACTATGTCAAGTTTAAGAGGCACCATAGCATTACCAAATCCAGCACTTCCCCCACCGCTTCGGGACTGGCCGCTGCTCCACTCCCGCTAGCCCGGAAGTGGCAAGGGAAGCTTGCACGTAGCTGCTGCCGCCTCCTTTAAGCACCCCGTGCCACTGCTCTGAGTGCGGCTAGTGCCCTGGGACCAGCCACTGCTACTCCACCCCTTCCCAGGTCCGTGACTGGCTGCAGTGCCAGTTTTAAAAAAACAGCATTTTCAAATTTCCAGCATGTGCTCGGGACTGCTGGGTTTGTGAGGTTTTACTGTATTTTTTTCATATTTAGAGGCTTCTCATAATGTGAGGCCCTAAGCTGTAGCTTACTTAGCTTGTGCCTAAATCCAGCACTGCCCTGCAGGGCCTCCCAGCTGCATGCAGTTACTCTCCAACTGCAGAGATGAGGAAGGAACAACTCCCAAGTCCTCATCATCATAAGTTTCAATGTTTTACTGGACAGATCTTCTGGAGAGTGCTTCCTTACTGTCTGTTAATCAGTAGAGCCATGAAAAAGGTAAGATCTTGACTAGTCTTGGAGACAATAGCCTCTTTTGTCCCCAAATTTTTCTAATTATCATTTTGTGCAAATGTCAAACTCTCCCTTCTGAGCTCCATTTTCGGAAGCTGTAATTGAGAAGCACATAGCTTAGGTTGTACAACCTCTTTATAGTTTTAACATGGTGATCTTACATTGTCTTGTGGAATATCCTTCCTTGTGGAGTAAGTCATCAGATGACACAGTGAGCATCATTTGCCAGATATACGCTTGTCCTAAGGAAGTAAGTGTGGCCAGCCAGTAAAGCTTAGAAACTGGCAATACCTAGAAGTTCCCAAGAAAGTAAAAGTACTTCCATAAAATTAAAATATAGTTCCTGCATGTACGGAAGCTGGAAGCTGAATTTGGGCTAACTGGACCTGAATTTCCTCATGCTTTATATCTGTATAATGCAACAAATTATTTCTCTACTTTAAGGTATGTGATCAGATTGTATAAAAGTGTTTTTAAGCTGCCACGGCCAACGTTTCCTCAGACGTGCACAACTTTGGTATCAGTGGACCCTAGAACTGAATTTCACTTTAAGTACTTGAAGTAAGAAAATTGCAGGAACTCAATAAAGCTTCAGAAATAAGTACCTTGCAATAAAACAATGATTAGTCATACAGTAAACTTGGACAATCCAAGCATGGAAGGGTTTGGGGTTTGTTTGGAAGTCTAAGAAATATTGACAAGTCAACCTAGTCTTCCCTAGACTTGCTGGAGAACATCTGTACTGTGGCTCCATACTTTAAATGAAGGTAAATGGTGCAGAATCCATGGTGCTGAAACAATATCCATTTTTCCCAAAGTGTTTGTCACTGAAAGTGGTGTTATTTAAAAAAAAACCCAACAGACAAAACTTGAACCCCCCACAACTATTATAGTCTAAATCCACCCTCAGCTTTCACCTTTGTAATATCTCATTTTGCTTGTTCTTCTGTCTGTCAACTAGAATCATCCTACATAGGGCCTCAATTTTAACAAAACAGATTCTACTGAAAAACTGCAAAACAAAAATGCATCCTTTCAAGCTCTCTTTAGATTTGTGAAGCATCATGAAAAAGGGATGTAAGCCAGGTATTTTCTAAGTGTTTTGCAGATCACATTTTAAAATAACTCTGAGAGAAGGCAACAAACATTAATACAAACTAGTTTTCTTCATAATCCTCAAAAATTCCTGCTCGTTTACTTCTCCATCTCCATCTCTGTCAGCTTCTTCAATCATTTCCTGTAAAGAGGTGACAAACAGATTCAAAACAACACCTTTCACTTACTTTAAAACTTATGAAAAAACATTTTAAAAGTAAACAAGCTTTTGCTGAGATTTTTAGTAATGCATTTAATTCCAGAACTCCCACTAAATTTACTGAAACCATACTTGTAAAGGTATGAGGATAGACCCAAAGTTCGCTGGGAAAATACTGTTGAATTCCAAAATTTACCTGTAGCTCTTCATCTGTTAAATTCTCTCCCAGCTCCTTGGCAACTCTCTTTAGGTTTTTGAAAGAAATCTTTCCTGTCCCATCATCATCAAATAATCGGAAGGCTTTCAAGATTTCTTCTTTTGAATCTTTCTCACTCTGAAATGAAAGTGAAAGGAAAAGAATATCCTACTATCTAAATATCCTTTTTCAGCATTCCTCTATCACACTGGGTAGTCTGAAAAAATCAAAATGATTCCTACCATTTTTTGGGTCATCATAGCCAAAAAGTCTTCAAAGTCAATGGTGCCACTTCCTTCTTTGTCAATATCTGCTATCATTTTTTTAATTTCTTCTTTCTTTGGTTCAAAGCCTAGAGCACGCATTGCAACCTGGTTGAAAGAGCAATTTCATTTATGTATAGAAGATACCAATAGAATTATAACAATACCATTTGCATTAAACTGCTTCATTTTTGTCTCTCCACATTATAAACATAAAGCTTACAAAGCATAAAGAAAACCCTTATCGTTATTTTTCATTATTGCAGTTATTAATAGTAGTAGGGCTTAGTAATCTTAAAACTCAGCAGTATCTCTTCTGCACCTACTTCAAACAAGGGATTTTCTCCTTTGATGACTGTGTTCAGTACTACCATAAGCATTTTCAATCTATTTTAATTTACACAGTTATTTTCAAGATATTTCACAAAGAGACTGAATTATCAAACCAGAGACTTGACCCTACCCCCACTAGAATCTATGGCAGAACTTCTACCACATATCAGTGGAACTAGAATCATGTAAGCATAATACTTATTGGGTTTTATAACTCACTTGTGTAAAAACATTTTAAAATAATCCCCAATTCTAGCTCTGGACAGGAAAGGAAACAAAACCGGAGTCATGTAGGTATTCAGAATCCTTAAATCTGGTCAGTGTGCCAGACAAAACAAAAACAAACTAGAATCCCTGTCTTTGACTCTTACAGGGAATGTCTACACATACATTTACATCAGCTTAAATTTACTGTGCAGTAAGATACTGCACAGTAAGCAGGAATAGGCCAGCGTCTACATGTGCAGGCATTAAAGTGCATTAATGCTATGTGTGGACTGACTTGGGACTAACTTTAGTCCCAAGTCAGTACACAACACACAGTGTTAGTGTGCAGGAAGGTGTCTACACTTGCGTTACTGCGCAGTAAGTAATCAGGCGTAAATTTAAGCCCAAGTCACCTAAGTCGCCATAGTTACTGTGTAATACAGGCACACAAGTGTAGGCACGTGCATATACTGCACAGTAATTTTGGTTACTACACGGTAAATGCACAAGCATGGATGCACCCAAAAAGTACAAATTTTATGGCTGCTATAAAAAAGGCAGAGAAAAATCTGTTCTCCCTTGATACAGATGGCAGGACTAGAGGCAGTGGGTCTAAGTCTCAGGAAGAGTTCTTAATTGCAAGAGCAGTAGGGCAGTAGAAGTAGCTGCTTAGTGAAGTTATCACATCTCTTTCCCTTAAGGCACAGATTGTCAACTAAGGGTATGCGTACCCTGCGGGTACTTGGGAAGGCCCTAGGGGGTATGTGCAGGTGGGCAGGGATGGAGAGCTGCTACCCACCACCCCATTTCGCTGCTGCCTCCCAGGAGCAGGGTTAGGTGAGGGCAGCAGTGCCCCTCTGTGCTGCCACCACCATCCACCACCCTGTGCCACCCTACTCCACGTTTGGCCACGTGCCACCCTGCTCCAGGTCCAGTTGTGCCCCCGTGCCACCCTACCCTCCCACTCCGCTTCCGGCTGCCAGAGGTACACTGACTAAAATAGACTGAAAATCCCTGCCTTAAGGTTTTCAAAAGGAAGCTAAACAGGCATCCACCTATGGGATGGTTTAGAACAGCAAATACTGCATCTGAGCAGGGGGTTGGATTAGATGGGCAGGGCCAACTTGTGACATAAGTGCCCCACGTGGCACAGGCAGCCACTGTGTGCAGCACACAGCAGACTGGGGAGGAGACAGGCAGCAAGATTTTTGTTGTTATGGAACAGGAAAAAAAATTAAAATCACTATAAATGCCCCCTCATTTCCCTCCTCCCCTTACCCACTTCCAAGGAAAAACTCAATCCCTGAACTGCCTTAGAAATAATCCAATCTACTACATGCATTCCTGATGTTACAAAAGAAATATGTTGTGTTTTACTCTTAGCTTAGAAGCAGGTTAGTTTCTCCATTAGTTTTAATACTAATGCAATATACTCATTAGAATATTCGGGCCCTGTTACCCAGGGTAATTGGGCACTAGAAGTTTTTTAGATTGGGTACTCAGAAATTCAGCTGTGTTTGCAAAGTGTAGCCTTTGTATACCAGGCCATTTCAGATCATATTTATGATGATAACATTTTACAACTGAGTTCAGAGACCAAAGAGGAAAAGATGTCAAAAAGCACAATTTTGCCAATAAATGTAATGCAAAAGAAAAGACCTTCAGTTCTTTTACATCAATGCTTCCAGATCCATCAGTATCAAATAAATCAAATGCTTCCCTGATCTCTTGCTTCTGCTCTTCTGTTAATTCAGGTTTCAATCCACTTTTCTTCCTCTGGGCTGCACCCAACCCAGGTTTCCTGTAGTTGGAGGCCTACAAGAAGTGGGTGAAAAATAAAACTTAATTAAAAAACACGTTTTTTTGGAAAAACAAACCATAAAAGTACCTATAGTAGTGCAACTGTAGGGAGAGCTGGGTATCTGCCCTGGCACCAACTCAGAGGGGGTGCCAATATGGCCCCTTCCCCCCAGGAGTTTTTACTACTGCATGTGTCACCTGGCCATAGGAGCCATAAAGGTGCAGCCCCATGCCCATTAGTAAATCAGAGAGGGGGTGGGGGTGCCAGGTAAGCTGAAGTTGTGTAGAGTGCATCTCCCCATCCTCTGAGAGGTGCAGCCCTGCACCCAGAAGTGTATAGAGGGTGGGGGGGAAGGAGTGAACAGGCCACCAGAAACAGCCCCTAGGGAACCTGTGCCTCTGCGCCAGAGCACAGGGAGCTTGTCCCTTTGCTACAGCAACTTAAGCCCATATTGCTACAGCAAGTCCTGTAGATATAGCAGGTGCTGCTGGAGTGCAGAGCGCAGGGGCAGTTGAGATCCCCCACATCCCCATCCTGCTCTCCAGTGGTCAGCATAATCTTTCCCACAAACACCTTTGCCCCAGGCACTGAATGATCTCCCTGCATGTCTGAGTACCCAGCAGGGGCAGAATTGAAAGAGGACTTTCTTTGCTGGAACTGCAGGAGATTGAGTCTTTGGTGGCTACTCCTCAAAAATCCCTTTGCTTAGACTACCCGAAGACAAATAGAGAAAGTGCTGGGCTTTATGCATCACAGCAAAAGCAAAGTAACTGGATGTTTGTATTAGAAGGATCAGTAACTAAACAGTATCAACCCATGAACAGTCATCTTTCAGTCTTGGTGTTAAGGTGCTACTGAGATGATTGAGCATGTTGTTCTCTCCTGGCTGTCACAGCATTGGTTTAGCCTTAAAATGAGAAGAACACAGAGGCTTTGACTCTGAGCAAGACGTCTCCATTCCTGTTCTCTCTGCACAGAAATGTGAGTCCAGAGAAGCAGCCCATGGCTGTGTCTACACTTTACAGCTTTGGCAGCTGAATGCCAGGTCTCTCGGCACCAGTGTGCACATGCAGATGCCCTGTGTTGGCAGAACCTTCCGCCCTGCTCCCAGTACCCTGCCCCTGCAAGGCTTCTGCTGCCGTCCAGCTGCCATAGACACACTCTTACACCCTCAGCCCACCTCTGCAGTCTACGGTAAGCTCCGATGCCTGAGACAGTGCAAACTTAGTGTAGACTTAGCCTCAGGGAACAACTACATTGCAGCCAAAGTAATGACAGCAGAATAAGCTACCTCAGGGTATGTAGGCACTAAACCAGCTGCTGGGGTATGGGCAGCAGCACAGCCAAGGAAGCACAATGCTTGTTGTGAAACCCACACAGGAAGCACGAGGTCTGTGCTCTCACCTCTCCATTGTGTCCATTTGGGAAGTACTTGGAGGCCTGCCCTTTCTCTCAGAGCAGCCCCGGAGTGCCTGCGATCTGTATGCTGCTTTCTGTGCTCCCCATGGGGCTGCTGAAACCAGCAAATGGCCAGAGTCTGGTGTCTGCCACCACGACCGGCCTAAGCTGTCATGTCAGGAGAGCCAGGCCTTTGTGATGTGCCTAGTGGATGAGGGCTTGGGCCCATCTATCAGCCTCCCATAGCTGGGAAACAAGGTTCTTTGGGTAGATGTGATATCTTTTATTAGACCAACTAAGGAGGTGGAAAATTTGTTCTTTCAAAGCTTTTGGGTACAAACACCCTTCTTCAGGCACAGGGAGGGTCTGCTTGTGTGGAATAGAAGCTGCCACAAAACACCAACAGACTCCCTCTCTGCCCGAAAAAGGATGTTTGTGCCCAAAGGTTTGCAAGGAATATTTTTTTCCAACTACTTAATTGATCAGATAAAAGATACTGTACCATTACATTTACCCAAAGAACCTTGTCGGCCTGTGTCCTTTGACCAACACAGCTACAGCTGATGCTCCCCATCGCAGGGAAATACAAAACTCTAAAACTTGTGGTTCAGAGGCAATACCTTTTATTAGACCAGCTAAAAAAACAGCAAAAAAACCCAAACAATATTTTTTTTTCTTTGCAAGCTTTCGAGCACTCAGCTGAGTCCTGGGGACACGTAAGATGCAAGCAGGGCCAGGAGTGAGGTACAGCAGGAGCTGGGGCCAGGGAGCCAGCCACTGCCCACAGGCCCCACCGGCGAGTGTCAGCAGCCAGCGGAGGTAAGAGCTACCCCCTCCACTGCACTATTATATTAATGCAATATAAGATTGCAATACCCCCTCCCCAATCTCCCCGCGTATCCGGCGCTCCGGGCCCGGGGCGGCGCCCCCCGACTCACCATGTGCCCAGGCAGGAGGCCTCTCTTCGTGTCAGCGTCTCCGGGCAGCGCAGCCCGGCCAATGGGCGAGGACAACGCTCCGCAGGGCCTCGCCCATCTCTGTCCCCCGGGCCAATCAGGCGGCGCGGGCCCTCCGTGGCGTCATAGAGAACGCCCGCGGGGTCAGCCCGGGTCGATACACAAAGCGCCGAGGCGTCCGTATCCCGGCAACCAGGCCAGCTGCGGAGCGGCTGCGCAGGCGCGGCGGGACCCCAGCCCCTCCCAGCGCGGTCAGTAGTGGGGCGGTGCGGCGGGCTCCTGGCCCGTCGGTGCTCGTTCGCTGGGGCGCGG